AGGTATTTCCTGCAGGAATGGTTGATTTAATAACTCTTCTGGAGTCGATATATATCTGACAACTGGTTTGCAATTTTCTGCAAATGAATAATTTCTTGAACTTTCAGTTCACGTTATTTTGTATAAGGATCGAGAAAATCCAATTTTTCAGGTGATTTTCTTTCGGTTGATTTCTTCCTCCCCCTAATGTCGGGAATCGTAACTCATCAGAATAAATAAATCATTTAATAGATCGCTCATCAAATATTTTACGATATTTAATCGTAAAAAGTGATTCATACCCGACATAAATTCTAAATTTCTTTTAGAGCCATATATAATATAAAGGGGTATGTATAAATATTTGTCGGCTCTCAAATATTCTCACTTTTGTCAAATCATATATCCATTGGGATCAGTAAACTTCTGGTTTACTGTAGGTGATAATTATAAATCAAATGAGAATGAAGACAACTATATAGATAATCATTTCTCTCTCGAATGATTATTATGATATAATTAACCTTTATCTCATTTGATTTCTAAACATGATTTTTGTCATTGTCTCATTTAGTGTCTCAATTTGGATATTCAAATTCAATAAATTTTTCGAGACATGGTAAAAAGTAGTGCTTTATTTATGATAAATTTTTCTCCTACAAGGAGAAATATAGTAGTGACTCTTCTGGAGTTTTCAATCACTTGAGCACAACTATTGATTGTGTTTGTCTCTCTTACTGGAATATAGTATATGTAGTAGCACTTATTAATGAGACACATATCATTGTCACCATAATTTTTATGGGACAAATATCATCACCATAATCCTTTGATCCCAAATATTTAACATCCATTTCTTCTTCAGGAAGAAAAGTCAATTACTATCATAAATTAAATCAAGCATCATACACCTTCAGGATGTTTAAAGATTGGTCATGTGAAAATGCTATTATAATTTTGATTTCTCATAGGTACTTCGAAACATTTATCTTAGGATCCTTACTTTTTGTCCTTATCATTATTATCCCACTTCAAGTGGTAATTTTTTCTCTTGTTATGGTAAAATATATATTTACCAAAATCATAGTCATGGCATCAACCATAACTAGTAAATTGAAATTTAGTCACATTCACTTCTGGAAATGGATTAGAACAAGCATGCAATAAGTACATAATACTTCTCAAAATTTTCTCTTAATATTGCTACTACAGGAGCATATTCGAGAAATCAATTGTGGAGAGTATCATTTTCAATATATCTTATGAATAAAATTTTCTCAACACAATTTCCACTGGAAAATTATTCTGAAAATCGCATAATTATGTTCTTGTAGCCACAGGTAAATTTATCATACCAACCTTTTGAAATAATGACCATCTTCTGGTGGCCAAATATTTTTGTTCAAGAACGACCATCTTCAGGTGATCGAATATTTTCTTTAAATATTTCAAAGGACAAGTAGATCCTCAAATATAATTGATTTTCTATAATAGCATCTCCAAAATTCAATGCATCAGAATATAAGTGTTTATAATAAATAATTCTAAAGATAAATGAGTAGAATTAAAAGGAGAAATATTACCTCAAAGATGTTAAACAGTATATATTTATGTTTAGTGGTTGTTCAGCAATAGGCACTTGTATTTTTTGCAATAATTCAAATATTAGCCATAAGAAATTGAAACAAGTTTGTGAGTTAGAAACTTACCTCAGAATTTACTTGAAGAAATGCGAGCAGAATTTCGACAAAATCTTGTGTTTCACTTTTGTTCAAGATAGAGCCTCCGTTTTCACATTTTGCTCAAAAGTAGAGCTTTCGTGCTGATAACGTGTTGTAAAACTAATAAACTACTATAGTATGAATAGAGATATTAGAGGAAAAGTAGAGCAATGGAGAATGATATTCTTATGATTCCAACAAGATACAAAAGTCCTACCAAAGGATGTCAATGTACCTCTATATATAGGTACTACAAGATTAAAGGTACATAAATCCTATTAAACATCCACTACTACAATAATATGAAGAAACCTATGAAACGGTTTCTCCACTACATGAATAGATTTATGGATTGTAACTTCTATACATAATGTAACCATAAATCATGAATTAATCCTCTTGAAAATACAAAGGGACATCCACACTTTTAGTTGTTTCATAACAAGACCCACTATTATCTTATCAAAATATTCATCCCCAAAGATACTAAGAGTAAATGGGGAAAGAGTTATTTTAACACCACAATTTCTTATGGATGCCGGATTTCTGGAAAAAATTATTGTTACAAATCCAGAAGATACTTATTGTCTTGGAACTCATCTCGGATACTTCATCAGAAAAATGCTAGACTATGGACAGTGGGCAACTGTACATATCAAATCCGCACCAGCAAAATGGATAGGACTTTTTGATATAGAACCAGCAATACATAGAATGATGATTACAGTCAGCAATATACCACCAGCAAGGAGAACGACAGAAGAACTAGAGAAAATCAGCAGCAGTCTAGTGGAATGTCCATTAGAATTAAAAGAACAATTGATAAATGCTAAAATGATCCAATTAGCTTACAGACATTTCATAGATCAATGGGAAAATGGAATTAGACTAGTATATGAAAATAAGATACAAAAGATATATGTCCCATACAGGTTTAAGTTAGAAAAAGATTTCACTATAAGTACCAATTATCCAGAAGTCTTTGAAAAATATTTGGAAGGATATTATATGAGCACAGGAGCAAGGCATTTGGATATCGAAGCAGATGAAGAATATAATGATGATCATTATTGGGAAACATTGGGACCAGAAGAAATGAGCAACATTGAAAATATGATTGAAGGATAATTTTTCGGCCATCTTGTCCAAAGCTATAATGTATAGATCGGTCATAAAGCCTTTATTAGTTGTCGGCCACATTGTATAGCCTGGCCAAATTGATTTAGAATCTATGTATAGATCGGTCATAAAGCTTTTATTAGTTGTCGGCCACATTGTATAGCCTGGCCAAATTGATTTAGAATCTATGTATAGATCGGTCATAAAGCTTTTATTAGTTGTCAGCCACACTGTATAGTTCGGCCATATTGATACTTTTACGGATTTCAGTAGGTCTTAAGTCCGTAAAGTTAACATGTCATATCCACGGACTTTGAGTCAAAAATTTTAAGTCCGCACAGTTTTCACAAGAAGTCTATAAAGGCATATGTCCCAGACCAATGTTGGGTACGATGCACTTACATCCTGTAAATTAAAGCGTCCGATAAAAACTCCAATTTCATACGTTCTTTAGCAGTTTCTACAGTCTTTAGCTCTCTCATATTGCTAGCATAAGACGAAAGAGAAATAAGAAAAGTAGAGATTTAGGCAGCCAACCCTAGATTAGATCCAAACAACCGGAAACTCTAAAAAAGATACCTTGTTTTTAGGATCCTAAAAGACCAAAAGACGGTGTAGTACCCATTAAACCCTTTCAATTACAAAGCAGGCGTCAGGGGAAGATCCGGTGAGGCAAAACTCCTAATCACAAGATTCCCATTTTCATAGCATCAGAAGGAAAATTTGGATTTAAAGTAAGGAAGGTAAAATCTCAGTTATCTTTCTTAAAGTATCTAGTAGTCATCTATTTCTTAAATTCCAGTTAATCATCCTGATATTTTATATGAATTTTGAACCGCCTTTTCAATTTACATCTACTCCAGAAAACGCATACAGATTAGCATTACAAACCCTCAAACAACCAGACACCTATTATTATTTTGACAAAATTTTAGAGAAAATTGAAACAACAGACCAGTGTTTAGCACATATACAAATAGAAGACGCTAGCTAATCTAAAGTAGCACACCACCATCCCGCATCATTTCTAAAAAATTTAAGACAAGCAAAAATAGATTTACTTTGGCATAAATACTCTGAATTAAAATCAATAGAAAGACAAAAATTAGAAGAACAAGAAAAATACAAAAATAAAAAGATTTTCTGTAACAAGATCTGTGGTATATCGGACTAAGCAAGATTGAGAGAAAGAAGCTCTGCTTCACTGCACACTCTCTCCTCTGCTCCACGTACCAAAGGTCCGCACTTGGACTCCGTTCCACTCATATATTTGGTGTCTTGGACTCCGTTCCACTCATATATTTGGTTTAAATACTAAATATATATATATATATATATTACAAAATATAAAAATACATCTAAAGACTCTTCCATGAACTTTCTTGAGAGCCAATATTTGTGATGCATAACTAAATCTCTAATTTTTCTTATTGGTTGAATAAATTTTTGTGTTGACATAATATTGGTTGATTTCTTTTTGATCTACAAACACAAATCATCAAGCATGTTTGGATTCAAATCACAAGATTATAAAAAAAAGTTTCAACTTTTAAAGATGTATTTGCTTATGATCGTATGTTTTATTACTATTTTTCATGCATTTTGAATGAATTAAATATCAATATTGTTGAAAAAATTTTGGTTTATATACTTTTTAAGAACTATTATTTGTTGATGTTTAGTTTTAATATTATAGTTTTGTAAATGTTAAATTAGTTTTACAACTTAATAGTTATAGTAATTATATTAAGAAAATTAAGGAGTAATAAGTGAGTTTGGGCTAAACCCAATTAAGACTCACAACCCGAATATTATGTGAGCTGAGTATGAGCTTCACATTTATGAACCCGAAACTCATAGCCCGAAACCCGAAAATGTTCCAAATTAAATAAGTTGAACTTGAGCTTATCAAAGTCCGACTCATTAGACCCGATTGATTGGCCTATTACAAGAGGCACGCTATCACATAAATAATATTATTTTCAAGATTCACTATCTATTATACAATTTTCAACTAGAAAGGTTAGAGATATACATTGTTTGGTGCAATTACACTTAACAATTGTTTATTTGAAACTTCCTAAATAGAAAATTTATTAAGATAGAAGATTAAGTGTGACTTAAAGCAAAAAATTATATTCGTCAAAAACAAAACAAAAAAGTCTTGAAACATTATTACAATTATTGAAGAAATCCATGAAATGTTTGCAAAGAAAGCATCACATAATTGAAAAGAAGATAGTACTTGCCATATTTCTTGACGGCTTCATGGAGATGAGGAATAACTCTTGGGAATAAGTCATCAGAGAGATTGATTGTGGAATGAGCTTCCTTGAGCAAGGTTGAAATCTGTTTGAAGTCTCCATGGAGAAATTTGTAAGGATTTCCTCTGAGACCTTGCTCTTTCAGCCGCTTCTCCAGCCTCTTGGGAGTTAACCACGCGCAGTTGAATACTTTCCATGCAAGCATTAGAAAGTATAAAAGAATACAAGAACAAGGTACAGCTATAGGACTGTAGGCTGTCTCCATTATTGAGTTGTAGATGAAAGGTTTTTTTTTGCGTTCAGCTGCTCTAGCTTGCATTCATATTTACACTTGGAAGTTGAAGAAAGTTATCATTAGAGTAAATTACTTATAACCCCCTATGATTTTATATAATGTTAGATGATTATCCTGAGGTTTCAAAATAGCCACATAATCCCTGTAGTTTTATGTAAAGTAGCAAATGGATAGAATACACAATCAGTTATGACATTTATACTAAACGCGCTCTAAAAGCAAGTGTGATAAAATTTTAATTTCCATATCACCCCTTTATGGTATGTATAAATATTCACTTTGTCCTCTTGTGATTTTTCCATTTAGTCACGTAATCCTCTGATACTTTTATACCAGGCAATTAAGCCGTCGATTGATTTAGTATTTAAGTAAGGGCATTTTGGAATTTCAATTAACAACATTACATAGGCTATATTTCGTTAAGTTTTCACTTTACGTAAAATTATAGGAGAAATGAAGTGGACATTTTGAAATGTTAGAAGGGGTCATGTGGCAATAGACGAAACTACAAGGGGGAGATGTATATAATTTACCCTTATCTTTACGACATCCAAAGAACAAAATTTAAAATTTGGGCTTTGATTTATGTTCCAGAATTACCAAAGTTGTGATGTCAAAGAAAAATAAAGAATTGTTCATTGGGTGGCAGGTGGTTTTCAACGGTTGATACCATACTATTTGTTTGTGATGTCAAAGAAAAGTAAAGAATTGTTCATTGGGTGGCAGGTGGTTTTCAACGTTAATCAGGTTGATACCATACTATTTGTTTTAGTACATCAACTTATTACTTGAGGGGCCATTTTTTCTTAATGTTTTACAGAAGTTTCAGACTTCGAAAACATAATCGATTCTAAAGTTAAGGCAAGAAACTGCCACATAGACATAGATTCTTACAAACTGTCTAGCAGTTGTCATCAAAATTCAAGCAATAATTAGAGAATTAGAGTTCAAATATAATACAGTGGCTTATATGCTCTTACCCCATAATTTTTTTCGCCAATTAAGACTTTCAAATGAAATAAAAATGTGAGTTTCTCTCTTTGTCTTCTATACTTTCCAATTAGTGCATCGAAGTTCTTGAGTACAACGATGCTAACAAAATCCATTCTGACAATTTAGTACTAATTTATGCTGCATCGCATTTTATTCATTTCATAGCTAAAATTAATAATTTTTCAGTTGCAATGTAGACTCGTCTAAAAATTTGTTACACTCAAATGGATTTTTCACAAATTGATTGCAGATAATTTTCCTTTTGTCTCACATTGTTCACAATGTTGTTAATATTACGATTTTTGTATGTGATAAACACGGTTTTTATTTTAAATAAGATCTGTTTATTAAATAATAAAAAATAATTACATAAAGCCAGGAAATTTGAGCCTTGCCGCCCTATTTTACGGAGCTGCAAGCATAATGTGTTTAATGTAAACTCCAAGTGAGAATTTGCCTGTGACATTCTCAACACTTATGGTAGCACAAAGGCGTCTGGATTTGATTTTAGAATCCTGTCAAGTTTAAAATTATTTTCCTAGTATTGGAGTAATCCTTCCACTTTTGAGACTTCTTTGAAACTACCGGAATAAATTATATCCCAAGAGTTATTCACTCACCTGTAAAGTTAGGTTCATTTGAATTGCTATATTTAGAAATTTTTATTAAAAAAATATATACTGTATAGATTTGATGTATGTGAGATAAAAAGATGATTGAGAAATGTGTTCGGGAAAAATACAAAAAAAAATTTGTTTAGAAAATTGAAATCTAAACATGGCCTTACTTTCACAAGAAATTTGGTTGAATTTCAAGGAAAAAGAGTCTTGAGAATCCTTAAATGACTGTATCATCTTCTCTCACGGTCACCTATCTAAACTCGGGTATTCAGCAACCTCCAACGTTTAACTTTTTTAAATGCATCTTACTTTTCTAGAGGTAGGTACTTTGTTGAAATTTCTAGATGTAAGAAATTTCTTATAATTATAAGGCTTGTTTACTAAATCATCTACTCCATAAATAGAGAGTTTAATATTGTTGTTAATTGAAAAAAGTAAAATTTGATAGCCTTGTTATTATGTGTGATTATTGATATATTATCAATATTTTTCCTCTTCTCCCACATATATTTGTATGTGTAAATTGCCCTTCCATATACATTGATTTTATGAAATGTATGTCCTACAAATTTTGGTAGAATTTTTTGGGTTCTACATTTAATATGTTAACATTGTCTCTCTTATATCAAACTCTCTCCTGGATCAGGTTTAAACACAATCACGAACAATAATCTCCCTTATAAATTCGACCAACATCACTTTATACTAGTTCTTCATCTTCAAATACTTTTCTCGTTGCAATAATCCATGCATCTAAATAGATTGTTTCCACCGCACAATTTGATATCAATTTATTGACAACTCACGTTGTAATTTTGATAATCACAATTCAACTGACAGGATTCTTCACCAACCTATGTTGCAATCATAATCAATCAGACAAATCTCGGACCAATCTTATGATCCAATCTTCATCGACTAGATATTTCAGGCCACCTTGTGGTTACACTCAATCAACTGAATGTTTCATAGCAATTCTTAAACTCACTGATAGGGAAACAAGCAACATTGTGTCAACGATCAGACAACAGAAAACCCCAGACTAACCTCATAGCGGGACCATTTTTCGATATTCACAAGCAAGTAACATCTCTGGATATTGCTTGATCTTGTTTTGTTTTGCATTGATTTTGACCTCTTCTTCATGACTCTCGTGTCAGTATCTGCACTAACTTCAACTGCTGCACTATTTTCCTCTACAACAAGCATGCTGGTCTGACCATCACCAACTTGCGGCAGCTGATTGAGTTTATGCCAACCTTGAAAATTAGCCATTGATTTGAACTTAAAAAATACAACAAAAAGATGCTGAAATTAATTTGCCTTTAGCATTATGTAAGGGATAATCAATTACAGCTGTCTTATCCATATTCAAAGAATATGTGAAATTTTATATTAACTTCAATTCCATTGTAAGATTACAGGAGATAACTTAAAAGGCTAAAGTTTGTGGAATAACTTTAAAATATTAACATGTGGCGCCTATCACGTAGAATTCTGTTGAAAACATTTTTAAAGTACCTTGTAAATTTCTAAAACATAAAAAGTGACTATGGAAATATTCATCTGAAAAAATGACTTCAAAAACAGATATAATATGCGCAATGTGATAGACATGAGTATAGAAACTCTTAAAAATCAATAACTGTACTATCTTTTAATTTATCTCTGTCGTATAAATCGTATGTCAATTAAAGTAGAATTGTTCTTATATTAATTTCTCGAATACTGTTATACATCTCTCTTTAAAAAACAATTAGAATAGAAGTATTTAATTAAAAATAACATTAATAACAGACAATTTATAATAGAGGCGGTTTTAATTGTACGATTACGCATGAGTCATGAGTATTGTGGTGGCTCTTGTTGATATAACTTCACCAATTACTTTATGTTGCTTTCTAAAATTTTTTGGCTAGTTGATGACAATTGGTCCAACAAACATGAAGGCAAATCAGTTTTTGGATTTTGTTTCTGTTCGACTTTACGTGCAATTTTTTTCCTGTCTGCCCTTTTTTCCTTGTCTATGCTTTCAGCTTTCTTTACTTCATTGACCAAATAATTGTTCTTTTATATATATAAACAAAAGAATTTTATTCAAACAAAAAAAAAGAACTTTATTTGTTGTCCTATCTCGGGTCTGCATTTGTTGTACCTTCAAAATTTTTATGTAGAAATTCCATGGTAATAATTTTAGGAGTTTCTCATTGATCTTTTACCATTCGGTCGTTTATTTTCTTTCTACCCCTTTATTTAATCAAATAATGTTGGTAAATTTGATCATTAAGAACGTGGTTTAGGAGATTATGACTGAAAACTAGAAAATAATTTCTGTTAAACCTAGCTTACTTTTCAATAGTATTTGAATACCATGCTTTATTATTATTATTATTGGTTATCTGCATTCCATGCTATGAAGCCATTTTCATTATTTGTTCTTTGCCATATTTTTTTATCATATAATGTGTATATATATATATATATATATATATTTGGATGGACGGTCAGGATTAACTCAAGCAGAGAGAAAATTATTTAAAATTTGAAATTTGAATTTTAAATTCAAATTTCTTTGGCTACGTTTTTCCTAGCATCATTCGAGATTTTTGACCTTTGAAACCAGTTCTGAGCTACAACAAACCCAACAAAATATTTGAATAATTTTCTCAAAACTCATTAAATTTAAATTGCAGGAATATTTCATTTACTAAGTTATAAACCTACAGAATAATAGCGAAATTACTTATAAGCAATATTAAATCTAAATTAGGAATTTCCTTTATGTATTCATCCTACAGCGTGTGCAAAATCAATGGAGCACCATACTCTAATTTAACTGATGTCAATTAGATGGGAGCTTGGATATAGTGAAAACCAATTTTTAAACTCGGACCGGCTAGCAAACCGGAGAGGGGGCCTGTCCGATCGGTCCAACCGGTCAGTTCAACGGTTTTCTGCTTTTTTTTTTTTTTTTTTGCAACTTTAGTGTTAAGTACTTTACAAGGCTTCATTCTACACTACAATTTAACATGGTTATTGATAACTTAAGTTTCTAAAATGCATTCACCAACATAACTAAATTTAAGTTGAAATAATAACAAATTTCCTAAAAGTTATACATAAAACCTAGAATGATAAACATAATTAAAATATCATAATTCACAAGTTTTCATAAATTCATTACAAACATAAATAGATACAATCCAAATGTTCACCAATTATCACAAATAAAAACACAAAAATAAATAAAATAAATATTGAAATTCTTTTACAATACTTAAAAAAGTTCATAAAAGAGTCCAACTCATATTCAAGACAAACCATTTGAATAACAAACTTCCATCAGTGGCATGATAA